TGAAGTAGACACGATTACGAAAGCTGATAGCAAAACACAATGCATGATTGTTGTGATTTTATTGTCCGCCTATATGAAGGTATTTCAATTGTAGCTCACAATACAGGTAAATAGTCCGGAATCATATACTTATAAATTCAGAGTCCATCGTGAAGCGGTCCAAAGATGTCACAAAATAACGCGCTGCTATCGGACATGTATTATGAATCCTGTGTAGGCTTCGTAAAAAGTCGAAACGGGACAACAAATATTGAGTTTTGAGATTTAATTTTTATCTTTTGAGTTAAAGTACTTGTACCTGGTTTTCAACAGGAGCCCTTACAAGTTTGCACAGAACATTAATAATGCAGTGGTGTTACATCTACTCTGTACTACAGCTACGTAAAAGTAAGGGGGAATGCAATCCATTCATACTGAAAGCGACGTGGCCGTAGAGCGCACAATGATAGAAAAAAAACAAATCTTTAACAGCTAATGCTGCATTTACAATGTCATTTTTCACCGATAAGGGACTGATCTATTGATTCTGTTTTTATCTAACATATTAGCTGAGCGCTTAAAGGTGGTAACGTGCTGATTTAAAAAAAACTTTTAAGGTTTAATGTAAAAGAGCATTTAATAATGCAACTTATCCGTGTGATCGCTCAAAGATACGTATTGCTTCGAATTATCGAGAGGCTATTATTTTAAAAGCTTAAGTAAATTGCTATCTTGACGATACTACGTAGGTGGAATACGAAAATTGGTACTGGGGTCGGCAGACAGGTCCAGGTATGTTTACCTTTATGTATAAAGTAAGTGAAAAAAATAATGTGCTACAATCTGGGGATTTTTGCTCACCGCAGTTTCAGTAAAAAACGTAGGTTTAAAGGGGGATTGCGACATAATAGAAGGCTTCATTCTGAAATAAATCAGAGCTGTGGCCAACCAATGCCCTCAATTTTTCGTCATAAATTTTATCTTCATGGGGTAAGGTGCTAGTCTCTACCTTCTGTTACAAAATTTAGGACTTTGGCGCAACAAATGAATTAATTCAAGGAATAAACACTAGAAAACTTCATAAACCTCATTTTATGATTTTCTGTCCTGAACCTACCCTAAAAAACGATCCTCTCATCTGGTCTGTGGAATGAACGTGCGTCGAGCTCCACAGCGAGCGCCGCAAATATCGTGGATGCTTGCTTTGGCTACGGAGCTTATTATTTGCATGTAAACAAATCAACATTCAGGACAGATTTAGGACAGACAACGTTTTTTTTACGATTGGGAAATGTATATGCTTAGCTGGTATCGCGTCGACGAAAGCGTATACTGGACAGACTAACCTCAATGACTCAAAATTACATTCACGAAAGATCTTGGCGTCGATAAGGGTTAGTTAGCAAAGTGGTAGTGTTTCCGAAGATCGTAAAGTAGAAGATTTTTACTAGTGATGTGAGAAATCCAATGTATGTGTAGCGGTTATAAGTTGCTCTGCCCCAACTCCTGTATTAGTGGCAAGAAAAATTCTTTACTCCTTTTGAGCCTATTCTTACAAGTGGGTCATTCCCCAAACTGCTGTTTATTTCTCTGTTCTAAAGGAAAAAAAAGAATCTAACGTTTTCCCGGCTGTTAATTATTTATTTGCGATTATGTCGGACTTCTTACTCACGCAAAACGCAGAAATACATGTACACTACAGGGAAATAATATGTAGCAATTGAAGACAGATTTACCAACACCACACAATTGAATTCTTCGAATATTTGTAGTCATTTAAATCAGATTGAGCTATCTGAACACAATATAAACATTTAGATAGTCGCGATAATTTTATATAGTCATTTAAGCACCACGTGCATCGTGCCAAAACGTGTGCAACTGATCTGAGCAAGTACAACACTTATAACTAGTCTATCTGAGATCTCCTTTTTTTGTTTGATTCA